TAGGCCTATATCTCTATAAAATTACAAGGACGTTAATGTTAAATCTTTGACTATGTCTCTGGCATGAGAAATAATTGGTTAGGCTTACATGCGATCAAAATGTTTTATACATATATATGTAATGGTCAGCATTTAAATTTCCAACACAGTTTCCTAGATGTAATTCAAGAGATAAATTATCATTACATTTGAACTATTACATCAGTTGGTGTTATACTGTGCTTTAATACGCTTCTTTGGAGCTATCAGACGCTGATTTATTTACGGCGTAATGACGTAATATACAGTATGTATGACGCGTGTTATATTATATAACAACTTGTACGTGTCATTCTCTGTAACCCAAACATAAAATAATATACTCTTAGGGGCTGATTACATGGAGAGTTTTCAGCCCGAACTGAGTTTCATCCCGGTTTCCCGGGTTGAAATTTCAGCCCGACCTAAGGATAAAATCCTATTAAAACACAGCAAGCGATTTCATGACCAAAATTCCAGCCCAGGCTAAGTTTCAGCTCGGGCTGAAATTTCAGATCGGTTTGCCCGGACTGAAATTTCAGCCCGGGCTGAAATTCAGCCCGGCAGCATGTAATCGCAATAATTTCAGCCCGCGCTAAAAAAATAACCGTTTAAAAGGCTTTATTTTGCGTGTCTGTTTCATCTTTAAATACTTTACATATAACTACAGTCTCACACAAGTGAAATAGTCGACTATTCCAGCAGTAAAGGCGGATTTCCATTCAGTGCAAAATGTCGCACAAGCGATTTGCGCAGTCAACTACAGCTAATGAGATTTGTGCCGCTTGACTGCATGTTTGCATTTGGAAAGAAAGCGTCGTAAAAAGTCGATCGTGCAAGATTTTTCACTGAATGGAAATCCGCCTTTAGTCCGTCTGTCAGCTGGCTCATCGCTTCCTACGCCCACGACACCGGCGCTGCCCCCATTACATGATCAAATTATCTCCAGCATCACTTGAGAGTCACTGCAGATACATGCACTATTGTCTTGCTACAAACCTGAAACAGTCTTGCTTCACCAGGTAAGACATTATTTTGCGATCTATCCATTTTTATAGTAGGTTGACTAGAGCTTTATATAACGTTATTTTATAATTTATTTCCTTAGTCAAACCAACATCATAAAAACAGCACAATCACATAATTATCTATTATATTTACATACAATTTGTTTTGCTTGGTATATGTAAAATGACGGAAATAAATCATTATATATATTTTATCCTAATCGAACATAAAGATTATTTCAACAGTATAGCCTCTTTATAATATAGACCGAAAAATAACATTAAGTACTATTTAAATTAAAGCACGCGTAGGAGTGTTTTTTAAAGCACTTGTAGTCGTGTTTTATCAGATATAAAACGCTCGTGCGCCTCGCGTTTTATATCTGATAAAACACGACTACAAGTGCTTTAAATGGCTTAAAAAACGATTCATTTTATATGAGTTCATTGGTGAAGTAATTTTTAAAATAAACCTTGTCTAAAACGAGAAAATCAAAGCTAAAGTTTATGTAAATTAACATGATTTTTTATCACATATAAAGATACGACACGCTGATGATTTTTCTTTGTGATTTCCTAGTGAATTATTAATGAGTTTTTAAAGAAAATATAAATTTGAAACCTTGAATTTCTTGTTAATATTATGGGGCCCATCAATAGTTGTGGAGTGCGTGATTATGCAGCAAATGATATCAAATCAGTTTTCAAAAGCAATAATTTGTAGGTATTCGGTGTATACTTTGTGTTATATTTCTCACTTAAAGTTGTTAGTTGGAAATGGGGTTTATAATTTAACACTGAAACTCGTATTGCTGATCGAATCATTCTGGTGTGGTGCCGGCTTGATATTCGCCATAAGGCCTCTGAAACATTAAGACTCTGCGGAAAACAAAACTAACTATTTACCCTGCTCCCCCGGCAGCGGAAATTAAGAGTATACTATTTTATGGTTGGGTTACAGTTGTAATATAACACCTGCTATACATATATTACCTCATTACGGCATAATAAATTCATACACCATCCCAGCAGTATTCGATGAGATGTATATGACATATACATGTACAATCGTTTCGTTCTACTTCAAAATACCTGCATCCCTGCAAGCCTTATTTGGCGGTGTTGCTTTAATAGCGGGTAATTTAGAAGATTAACGGGTAATTTAGAAGATTTTTATTGTGTTGACAGCTGACAATTTGAGTATTGGGCTTTAAGGCTAACTTGGTCTCTGTTGTGCTTGATATAATATATAGTTGTGGATTGGATTTGTTTCCTCCTGGCTTAGAAGATTTTTTGAAATTTTGAAATTGAAACGAGCGGCAAAATATGATTTGCGAACGTTTTTCATTTAAGTCGATCGAAACGATAAAACAACTCTATACCAAACTTTGACCGTTTATGCACAAATTTCCTGAAAGTGAAGAGCAATTGATATCACAACTAGGACGATCTTTACCTGAACAAGGCAGGGGACACATCTGAGTGGAAATAAACTAGACTGTGTGTTCCGGAGCTCATCACAGATGTCAACTGTGTGAATCCAACTGATCTATTCCCATCTGATCATTACCTTATTGAATTCGACATTAAACTTTGTTTCAAAAAGGCAAAAGCGGTAAGACGAACTGTGTATGACTTTAAAAACGCAAATTTCAATGCTGCATGCTCGTGATTATCTCTTGTACGTCCCTCTTCACTTCGGCGTAACTGATGAGGCTGGTATTGATGAATGCTGCATGGGAAAATTGGAAAGACTTATTTCTTACAGCTATAGATCAGTTTGTACCCAAGAAACCAGTTTTGGATACCAACACGCCTGCTTGGGTAGACCGGGAAATAAAGCATCTGCTCAAGAAGAAGTGCACAGCTCTACGTCAATATCGACAAAACGAACGGAAGAAAGAAAGCGCAAATTGCGAAAGTTGACGCAAGAAACTAAGAACTTGATTAAGCTATCAGGATTCCTTCACAAAATCACCCAAATCATTCTGGTCCTACCATAAACATATCCTTCGCAACGAAGTTCTCCATCTACCAATACCTATGACAACGTAACTGCAACCGAACTCCGCAACAAAAAGGCTGAACTTATTAATGAATACTTTGCTTCTGTGTTTCTTCCAAGAATATAGACCTAAACATGACTCCGAAAACTGACCAAGAAAGTGGAGCAATGTTTAAACAACTTGGACACATCAAAAGCTTATGGCCCTGATGAAATACCACCACGTTTGCTTAAAGAATGCTCAAAAGCAATCTCACCAAGCCTCTGTAGTTTATTTAGAAAATCCTTAGCAACAGCATGTGTTCCCGTTGCGTGGAAGCAAGCGAATGTTATTCCCATCTACAAGAAGGACCGTGTTGAGCCCGTGACCAACTACAGACCCATTTCTCTCCTATCCTTAACTTATTTGTTACAATAATAGTAATATACATAAAAATATTACTCATTTGTGATTGGTTGATTTCAGTCCAGTTAATCTCAAACAGCAGGGCAATTTTCTGTATCACACAGTGCAATTATTTGTAATCACAGTGCAATTTTCAGTAATCACATGAAAAATCTATAACAATTAAACTGATCTGATTGGTGGAAAAACAATGTGATGATATAAAATCAACCGATCGGTTTAAAGAAGTTTAGTTTAAAGAAGTAACGGTCACAGATTGCTTCAAAAACTGCAATAATTGTCTCGAACATTTTTATGTAAATTCTTCATAAGTAATAGCATATGGTTTCCCGTGAAATTTGGATAAGCATGCACTCGTGAGTATTTCAAAGATCTCATGCAAAAAGAACTCGTCCTTCTGACTCGTGTTACTTGAGTTCTTTGAAAAACTCACTCGTTCATATTATACACGAATTGCACTCGAAACCATGCTATTACCTTTTCTTATCAGAGTTTAATTTTCTCGAAAGTTCTTGCGCTAGCTTGAATATATTTATGAGAATATATGTATATTGAAAGCCTGCCTGCGCCATTTTACCATAAACATATAAACAGCGTTACTTGATTGTTTTCAGCTCATTTCTTTGCTATTTGAACATTAACGGTCAAAAACGTTTATGTCCAACTTTTTATATATTAAAATTTATTAAATGTTTAATTTTATGTTGCTATAGCAGCAACAAGGACCAGTTTCAAAATATCAGTTGAGCAAATATTCGCGGTTTTACCTGCACAACTCAAATATAATGTAAGGAGATTTATTTGTCCACATTTTGCATGCAATTAACGCCGACTTGTTCTGTTCATGACGTCATAACATACCGTTGAGATGGTAACCACGAGATTCATCATGAATCTGTTGAATAATTACACAACAATATTATTTCTCTGAAGAAAGACTCGTTTGAGCCCTGCAAGCAATTGCAAAATTGTTTAATAGGCATTTTACGATAAGATATTTGCTTTTAAACTCTCTTCCGGTTTTACGAGTTTAAGGATCCAAAGTTCAGGAATCTTATTTTTATAAATGATTTATCTGTAATCGAGGCACATTTTTTAAGTACTTATCGGATTTAAAATAACATTGAGATGAACGTCAAAACAGTTCGCGACGATACATGTGTAAATTGAAAAAAAGTTCGAAGATCAATCGTCTAGCGCACGATGAAAAATAGGATTGACTTCTACTTTTCGTCAACCGCCACATTTTTAACCAATAAGATTCCGCGCTTTCTTTCTTGCAAATCGTCGCGAATTTTATGACAATCGTCAAAAAAATCGTCTCAAAACTTGTCTAGTGGAGATCTACCTTTAGATAAGATAAATTTATTTTATTCGTTTAATTTAAATTTATCCATTTTATTCAGTTTTATCCTTTCAATATCATGCACTTGTGCTGTATCGTCCTATTTAAAGCCTTATACATTGCTCCCCCGCGGAAATCAATTGTATCTTGCAAATATATTCTTTGGTTATAAATTATTCTTACGTGTAATATATTCAGACGTAAGATTCAAAACAGTGAAAACACTTCAACAAATTAACCTGCCGTCTGGTCGAGTACGATAACTGCTCTCATGATACACGACCCAGCTGATCGAGACTGCAGCGAAGCGTACGTTATCCTAACTAAAGCTGTTTCTATTTTCTACAGGCAGTATTTTAACGGTACAGTTGCATAGTCTATGTTTTTTTAAACTGCAGCATGTGATTAATTAACCGAAGAATACATCGTTAGTAGCTATACTATGCTATACTATACTAGAGGATTTAATATATACTCTGTGTTTATTGTGACAAAATTTCGCTATCGTAACTCCGTAAGATATTGAAAAGATGTAACACCTAGTGACTATATACAGTAAGCGTATGCTAGAAACAAATTGGAGTATAGTCTTGTTTGAGATCCATAATATATGATCGTAATTACTTTCTCTATTTTAATTATGACTATCATTGTTATTGTTATGAAAATGTGTCTCTACAATGTCAATGTATTAATTGTGGCTGCATATCGTTAACTTTAATTTTTATACCAAGTCTATACTTGCTTAACTTTATAGTAACTTGGTATACACGCGGTACTGTTTAAAATTAAAAGAAGAGGATTAGCACTGCCAGAAATATGTCATCAAATGCAGAATCAAACAGCCAGCAATCTAACGAGAAAGGAATCTTGAAGAAACTTAGTCATATCATTACAAGCAGTATAGAGAATTTTTTCTACAGGCAAGTTTTTGTTATTTTTATTTACTTATTTTAATACTTATATAGGATGAATATTATGGTCAATATTATAGTTAATATTGTCGTCAATATCATATAATTGTGAGCGACATGGACTGTCTTTCAACTCAGCGACTGAAACCGCATAATAGACAATTACATCAAATGCATGCATATATAGAGGCATTGATAGTCATAATAGTTCATAATTTGCACAGTTTATTCGTGAAATATATTAACGATAGTTGCATTTTTCGCAACTGTTCCTGGTCCTCCTGAGTCCTGGTTAGGCCCGATTTGGACCGACGACCTTAAAACGATTTACGTATGACAGAGGAGTGGCGTTTAAATCAACTGGGTTCGGCATAACCTATTATACGAGACAGGTTCGACATGAGTTTAGACACCGTGAGTAATTCATGCGCCGAACAACGTAAGGCGCATGAAAAGTTATACAATAAATTTATTTATAGCTACCGGTAAAACCTTCAGTATACAATTATCGTACAGAAAGAAAAATATTAACTGCTTTACAAGATTTCCGAGTGGGAGTCTTATATATAGTCACTTAGGAAAGTAGTGGAATCATGCGTAGGCTATATCTTCCGGTAAACTATATTCCATAATCGTGCCCCACTATACTCAGGCGTCTTTTTAGGAAACTAGTGCGTGGCTTGAGTAAGTTTAATTTGACTTCAGAATTCCTGAAATTATACCTCGTGCCACGAAGAGAAACAAAACTAAAGATTTTGCAAGTATATAAGACGGCGTATGCCCTTTCAGTATCTTGAACATCAAAAGTCCACCGTCTATAACTTTAAGCAAGACCTAAGATATATTTACGTTCGGCTTGGTTTTGATAGTTTGCCCAATTCGACAGATTGCTTCATTCAAGAGTAATTACACGAGCACAATTACCTGCAATACAAGAAAATTATCACGCAAACAATTTATTTCAGGCTGCCTCAGTTTTATTACATTATAAGTGAAGTGTGTATAATCATATTGTATGATCGACTGGTTAACATCATAATTAACTGCCCATGCAGAAATATAAAGATTAACTTAATTAATCCAATCAGTCATCCCAGTTTACATTTTAGTCACTAATTTGTACCAAACGTTTGGACACTTGCGGTGTGCCGAGATTACTGCCCGCGACGTATAAAGAGTTTATTGCAGCCCCGACAGACATTGTATCCACTCTACTTGAACCGCAATTAGTTAGCGGTATCCTTTCGTGTTTCGCTCATGGTTTCATATTTTTACACTACACTACATGTCAACTACTAAACTACATGTTTTGGTCTCTTTGCACGAATAACATGTATCTTCAAGTATTATTTAGAGATTGATATAATTATTTACCCAGATCCATGAGTTGTGAAATTGTTGGTAAAATGCTTACTTTTATATCGGCTATTTACTCACGTCTCACCCATTTCTGAATTGGCAGCATTACTGCTGTGTGGTATTATGATTTCGAGACATTCCCTGTAGCTGAGATATTTGCCGGCCGTGTTATGACTTCTTTTGTCAGTAGGCTATATAGACCTTTCCCCTTTTAAGTGAAATTTTGATCAAGACAAGTCTGGACAAAAATTTCATCACAGCTTGAAACAGCATCACAAAATTAGTAATATTCCGAAGTTTCGTTGCGAAATGTTGTAAAATGCGGATAATATAGCCTTGCGCAGTTTGCCGTTTTTCAGTCATTTTGCATTACAAACGGGAAATTGATAATCAGATGATTAAATTGATTATCAATTTCCCGTTTGTAATGCAAAATGACTGAAAAACGGCAAACTTTGCAAGGCTATATTATCCGCATTTTACAGCATTTCGCAACGAAACTTTGGAATATTACTAATATTGCGATGCTCTTTCAAGTTGTGATGAAATTTTTGTCCAGACTTGTCTGGACCAAAATTTCACGTAAAAGGGGAAAGGTCTATTGTCTCAACATTGTCGCATGTTTGGGAATGATATCTCCTCATGTTTCACCAGGGATGGGATTGTGATTATTAGGTTGGTCTTTTGTCGATACATGGGGCTCAGACATGTCCTGTTGACCATACCTTCAATCATTGTTACATACTTTTCTATGATTGTAAAGTTAATAAATAAATAAGATTAGGATCATATAGACAGTCGAGAGGAATGGACTGCAAACCCCAATGCGAAAAGCCGCATCCGTCATGATATGGGCCATAACTCTAATATGAAAACTAACCCTGCATAAAAATTAAAAATAACCCTAGCTGCATTTAAATCAATTTGACGAAAAAAACTCGCTGACAACTTCTGGCTACATTCGATCGCCGCCGTTTGCCATTGAACAATAAGAAGCCGACATACTGGTAATACAGCAACCTGACTTGGCAACATTCGGGAAAAAAGCGCGTCAACCAGCTAAATCCTGTGAATAACAGTGTAAGAATAATTGTATTGTTCCATGCTGTAATAATTGTATTGTTTCCATTTTTACCCTGAAAAGGTCATCATTAGTAAGTATTTTGCGTTGTTTTGTTTTGTATCGTATATTCATGCAACCATGTATATAAAAGATCTCACTTGGTACAACTATAAGGCCACTCAAATACCGCGGAGTGTTTTCCGGTCCTTATAACGTTTCGCGCAAATCACGGCAGTTTGTTACAATGATTTTTTTACTAATTGTTTACCGGATACCATATTATGCTGTGATGCTATCATCTGCCACCACAGCAACAATACGCGCAATTGAAGTCGTATAATTATTACCAAAGGTAGAAACCCAAGTGCTTTGAAATTGTTTGTATATAAATAAATATATTAATTGAATTGTTAAACATTTAAACAGTTGCTCTTCTCCAACATTTCCTAACTGTATTGGTTAGTCGTTTTGCAGCTTTCACCTAAGTACTAAATTGTGCCGTGTATCATGCTGTAAGAACTGACTGTTGCTTTAAATTTTGATTGATTTAATTATAAACCATTCAATCCCAGACTAGAAAACCATAAATAAATATCTGAGAAATTATTAACAATAACATATTATTAATTTTTAATAAGATTATAAGTGATGGTGTATATTACTCAACGTCAAAAAATCTTGATTATGATAGGCCTACGATTTTGTCGTTGTTAATTCACATCCGCTTCAGTTGAAATTGTTTATTTTCTACAACATGTATGCATGTGCAAAAAGTGTATGCTGATACTTTCTAAATCCTGGCAGAAAGATGAATAGTCAACAAATTTAAACAACCCTAACTAAGTATACCTGAACATTTCTAATTTCCCAGTATACTGTACCTTTTTCTCTAGGCAAATTTCAAGGGAAAAGCTTCGCAAGGAGCTGTTGAGCAGATATTAATATTATTTCGCCTATACTATTTACTTTTCACTTCAATATTCTATGCCTATATATTTAATTCTCACTGTACTTTCCAGGCTTGGTAAAACTGTTGGTGGCAGTCCATGGATAACAATACTTGTGTCACTTATGGTATGTGCAGTCTGTATGGTAGGCTTTCTCAGGTTTGAACAAGAAAGTCGTGGTGAAAAACTCTGGGTTCCATCGGATGCCAAGGCACAGAGTGATAAAGAATGGGTGGAAGATATGTTTCCAGAAGAGTCAGCTCAAGTCAATTTTATTATTGAAGAATCGAATGTCTTGACCGCTGACATCATGAAGCAGGTTGGTGCATTTATGTCATTATCGTATCAGTAAAAAATAAGTCTGCAACTTTATTTATAATATGTAATCTTTCTAGTTTACTCCAATCTGATCGGGACACCTATACAGCATCTGTACAATTAATCTTTATTCGTGTTGGTATACTATAAGCAAAATGAGAATATTAATAATTTGTATTATATTTGGCTTTAGATATTTAAAATTCACCAGGAAGTTGTAAATGTAACAGTTAGTTTTGAAAACAAAAATCTCGGTTGGAAAGACATGTGTTTCAGGTATGATTGAACTTTGATTTCTTTGTCCACCAATCTGATTTCAGGCCATTACACCCCTCCCTCTAGCTGTCTATGGTTGCAAGCAATAATACCAGATGTATATGAATAGACTGTACAGACATTTGTCTCTCTCAATCACGACCGTGAAGGAACTTGCACATCCGATACAACTTCACGCTGATTTACATAAACTTTAAGTTCAATTTTCACACCAAATTGTCCTTAATTTATTTTAAATTTATAATAATTTTGTTTGTGGAAACACCACGTAAATTTATTACTGCAAAGCTTTCGATCCGTAAGCCCGAATCTTTATCAGTGCTAATAATATGTGACTTGTTTAATTCGCACGCCCTTTTTATATACAAAAGTGTCGTGATCTGTTGGCTTGAGTCATTTAAAATTTAATTAGACGACACATGAACCACGTCATTTCAAACGTAGTGAAGTGATTCCAATTAACGCGGGCGCATCCAAGATAAGAGAAATCAATTTTGCACATCAAAACAAACAGAACAAAGAAAACAAGTTTGTGGTAGTGTTTCCAGAAACAAAACTATTATATATTTTATCGCCATGCAAACATACAAAGAACTTATTATTTTAAATTGTTGAAGATTACGAATTTTCTCATCAAGACGTTTCTTCGGTTCAATACAACACGATAGAACTGAAAACTAACGAAATATCTTACTGCTAGATGAAACCAATGGAACAATTTTAACTCAACTTCTTGAAAAATCTTTTTAATGAAAGCTAACAACTTGCTGAACAGAAAAATGACATCCAGTGACGCCCATTGAGGCCCTGAGATACGAGATACTGTTACATGAATGCAAAATCTCCAAGACAATATAGCTGTTCTAAATTTCATGTTTTAGAAAAGGAGATATATGTTCTCTAGCATCAATTCTGGAGCTATGGTCGTTTGATGCCAACACAATAAATGCATTGACAAATGACAAAGTATTAGCAGACATTAACAACAGAGGACCTCGCAGGTAAGAAATTTTCGAGACACCACAATTGCCGAATAATTACCAGGGACGCCGGAACTGGGGAGCAGGAGGGGCAGCCGCCCCCATTGCCCTTTACCAGGAGGGGCAAGCGGGGCAAAGGTGCCCTTTCAATTTAAAGGATTGTCTTGGCGAAATAGCGAATTGTCAGACACTCAGACATGTTAGTGCAATTCTTTTACGAATTTGCTTCAGAAAACGCACGACATGCAGTCATCGAGCTTCAAGAACAGCACAATCACCTGGCGGAGAACCCCCTCACACTCCTATCATCCAATAAATAGAAAACATGATTAGGGGAAGTTCAAATCCCGATGTTTTGCAAACATCTCTTAGTATATATCAATTCAAAAGTGTCCTTTCACGAAAATCTGTTCCCTTGCCTTCACATCGTTCCGGCGTCCCTGATAATTACTATATTTACGATTTAATGGGATCAAGGCTTAAAATGCATCAACAATGTGACCGATAATATAGGGCTTCAGAACAATATTGTAGTTGAATCTCGCTCTAAAATTTCTCCGTTTTTGTGTTGATGATATTATAGTTACTCTTAACGACACTGTGCGGTGATCGATTTAGGGCCACCGCTTGTGGGTCCATGTTACTAAGAGCTCGAGGAAACTGGAATACCGAGAAAAACCAAAGGCGTTTGCATGGGAACGTCAAACTGGGACTCCAGCTCACATGTGTCTGAGCCAAAATTGTGATCTGAAATGTAATTATATTTACATGCAACTGTATAGTGCAGGAATCGAACCATGGTCACAAAATTTACATTTTAGTATTCATTCTGTAGCGCCAAATACATGTGCATACGACACAATGCGCTTTATGTTTAAAGTGCACATATTGTGATGTGGAATTTTACAATGATATATATTCAAAAACATTCTAAGACGAAACGCAACACACCTTCTTAGAGAGAAACTTAACTCATCTTCGTGACCTTTTGGCTGTTAAAACTACCGGAAATGACGTTTCATAAGGCATTTTTGTAGTTATGTGGCAAGAAACAGAGAAAACAGATTAGCATTGCCTTATCGATTAACATTTGCAATAAAGTCGAAATATTAGCTTGAATTTTGTTGTTTAGTTTATTAAATAGCTGGAATCGTGGGTTTACAAGATAAAGAAATTCAGCGTGTGTTAATTTCATCTTACACTAATATGGCTATGTCAGCTTCTGTATTTAGCATTACATCCAAGTAGAAATAAACTATACATTTATTTTGTTTTAGTCCATATTCTAAAAGTAAGTTCACCATAGCAAGAGTTCTGGCAGATATCAGCTACACAGAAAATGGAAGTATATCTGAAGCGCAGTTACTGAAGGCATCATATTTCTATGAGCAACTTCCTTCTCTGGTGGATCCTTCAGACAATGTAAGTGAACAGAGGCGTTGTACATACCTCCATATCCTAAACGTTTAGGGGTTCTTAACGATAACAGCACATATCAGTGTCGAAGATAACAGCACTTATATCACACTTGCGTCGGTTTTCTTTGTTCGTCCGAGGTTTATAACTAGCTTATAGACCTTGAATAAATGATTGGATTAAACTTGTAGACAAAACGCGAGAATTTTTCATTAAAAATTTTTGAAAATGACAAAATATGTTGGAAAACCTCCGCAAGTGTGATATAAGTTAGTTATAAACCTGGAAAGTCGGTTTATAACTGATATATTGCCCCTCGGACGCTACGCGTCCTCGGGTCAATATATCAGTTAGAAACCTCCTACTCGGTTTATAACTCTTACATATATATATATATATATATATATATATATATATATATATATATATATATATATATATATATATATATATATATATATATATATATATATGTATATATATATATATATGTCGGACTTCGATGGCGTGCTGTAAGGAGCTCTGTGATGAGCTCTCTGATAAAACCGATATCTTTATGAATTTATCGACAACGAGTTTGATTGTTTTTTTCGGCCAAAAGAAAAACAAATTAACATGGACTGGAACCCTGAATGACTTAAAAACATTTGTGTCAACAATAATCGATGAAAAAGCCGCAGAAAGTTCCGTCTGGCGATCACCATGCGGCGGCAAGTGGTGCTTCACCTGCGAAGATCTTGAGATTACGTGGCACTCGAAGAGTGGAGCAATAATTTTTGACGGAGTCAAAGCGGGAAATTTGGTAAAGCGAATAAAAGATATCCTCTCAAAGCCAGACGACGCGGAGAAGACTATCAATAGCGATCTTAACATGGAAGCGAATACTGATCGAGGTTCGTCACGCATCATTGAAAACGAGGTATCTAGTCATAACAGTACTTGCTATGTAGTTATAGAGGGTATAAAACTCGAGATGGTAATTTTGGAAACCCGCCGGCTACTCAATACCATAAAGGAGAATAAGTCAGACATTTGCTCGCTTAAATTTAAAGTCAAAGATCTAGAAGGTGTCATCCGACATCAGGATGACGCAATTCTCAAGCTCTCAGAAGATAATTTAATTTTAAAATCTAAATTATCCTCTTTTGAAAACTTAACTTATAAAGTAATCTGCCATGACCATGTGAATAATGAACGTGCTAATGAGTCTGCCAGTACAATCCAGGTTAATGACCAATGTGGATTCCACGACAAAGACCAACTGACTAATTTGAATGCCAACAATTCGAGGTTTATTGAAACTTCAACCAAGGAAAACCCCTCTTTGCTTAATGGTACACAAGTTCCGGATCCCCACGAAAAGCAGCGCTTGACAATAGATCTAGCTACCCAGCGGAAAGAACGGATTAACATAATGACTAATGTAGTTAATGACCAATGTGAATCGCAAGATAATGACCAACCCACTAATCTGAGTATTAACAATCCAAATTTTAATGAAATTTCAACTAATGAAAACCGCTCATTGCTCAATAGTACACAAGTTCCAGTTTCTCATGACAATCAGCCGCGTGACAATAGACCTAACTACCAAACCAAAAAAAGGGATTAACATAATATACAATCCACAACCTGACAACGTGAATAACTTGGGCAATAATCGACACCCTCGTGCAAAGAACAACACCCCCTGCCCATTCCTTAGGCGCCGAGGGTGGTGCGCAAAAGGAAACCGATGTGATTTCAAACATCCGCATGAAGAACAGAAACATTTGGTGCCCTGTCCTTTCCTACAAAAGCGACGCTTCTGCCTTAAGGGCACTAGGTGCGATTTTTCTCATTGGGCCACTTTTCCTCATAGAATACAGCCAATAAGGTCTATCAAAAACTATCCTACTCCGCCTTTTTACGACAATCGACAGCCTATAGTCTCACAACACTGGTCCGGTTACAATCAAAGCGTTCAATGGCACCCCCAATGGACCGGGATTTTTTCAATCTCCCCCGAAACCGCTAATGGAAACCCCTTTATGCCCTCCCTACAACTTCCAAGTTTCCCCCTATTGCAGGGCACGGTATGCAGAAACACTGGTGTAATCCCTGTCGTTAGCGCTATACTCACAAGATCCCTGTGAGAATTACTAACAACCGCGCAAAAACCGTCGTTAACCACATTAATAATCATAGACAACTGAAATTAGCCAGTACTTCAATACATGACCAGGCCATGAACCGAAACAACATATCAAGATTACCGAGTTTTCTTCTTATAAATGCTCGCTCACTGTTACCCAAAATAGACGAGCTATCCCTCTTACTATCAATACATTCTATAGAGTTTATTGCCGTAACTGAAACGTGGCTCAAAGATACTGTTCCTGAGCAACTAATTTACATAAATAATTACAACATTTTTCGCAATGATAGATCTTACAGCCGTGGTGGGGGTGTCTGCGCTTTCATCTCGACAAATATCCCAGCTAAAAGAAGAATGGACCTTGAAAACCCCTCTCATGAATGCTTATGGTTATGGCTGCGACCCCACCGCCTCCCAAGACACCTAACTGGATTAATCTGCTGTGTCCTATATAACCCGCCTGATACACCAGTCAATGAGCAAAAGGAATTAACGGCCTATCTTATCGATCAGATTGACCGAGTTAGATGTACCCACCCCGACTGCGGTGTTGTCTTACTCGGTGATTTCAACAATTTAGATATCAGCGATCTCCTGTGCCATCACAATCTTACGCAAATAGTGGACACCCCAACGCGTGAAGGTAACATCTTGGATCTAATTGTTACTAATCTAGAAGCCTTGTATTCTAAGCCTGTGATTATAGCACCGCTCGGCTCATCAGATCACAACATTGTTAAATGGTCCGCGAAAACTAACGTTTTAAGAACAGATAATAAAACAATTAAGAAAAACATACGTTCCTTCCCCATGTCGGCACGTGCAGCTTTTGGAAGATGGTGCTGCTCACGTGAGTGGTTCTCTGATGCCGAAAGCAAAAACTCTGCGACCGCTCTAGCGTCCTCCTTTACCAACGAGTTAAATTCTGCTGTTGATAGGTTATTCCCGTCTAAGGTTATTAGAATTCATAACTCTGACAAACCATGGATGACGCCTGCATTTAAAAAACTGATTTATCAAAGGCAAAAAGCCTTTCATTCTGGTAACCTTGACCTCTGGCGTCACTATAGACTTAAAGTCCGAAACGACATAGGAGTGAAAAAGCGTGCATATTACACGAACAAGGTACAACACCTAAAATCCAGTGACTCCAGAAAATGGTGGGACTGTGTTAACCAGATGTCCGGGAAAAAAAGATCTGCAACCAATAACATTAAGATCGTTAAGAATGGTACCACTCTATCTGGTAAAGATCTCGCCCAATCACTTAACACCTATTTCTTAAGCGTGAGTAATGACCTACCACCACTGAATCCTCTCCTGCTACCTGCCTTTCTCCCTGCACCAAGGCCTGTACCAAAAATTTTCCCTGACGAAGTTTGCACTAAGATGCTCAATACAAAAGTTTTCAAATCCAGCGGTCCTGACAATATTCCTAACAGGATTATTAAGGATTTCGCGTACGAATTGGCCGAACCTGTATGTCACATCTTTAATACATCTCTGTCCACTGGTGAATTCCCTAACATATGGAAAGATGCATTAATTACACCAATTCCTAAAGCGCCATCCGTATCCTGTGAGGAGGAGTTGCGCCCAATCTACCTTACAGCCTCTTTGTCCAAAATTCTTGAGGACTTTGTGGTCAATTGGATGGTGGATGACGTGAAACATAAAATCAACCCGCAACAATTTGGTTGCCTTAAAGGAACCTCTACAACGTTTTGCTTGATTGATATGATCAACAATTGGCTGAAAACATTGGATGATAAATCGAGCTATCTGCGGATCGTTTTCCTCGATTTCAGTAAAGCGTTCGACCGCATCGACCATAATATCCTGGTCCCAAAGTTGCTGGCCCTTGGCGTCAGATTGTCGCTTATTCCATGGATATGCAGCTTTCTCTCAAATCGCCGTCAATCGGTAAAGATCGACAATTTCCAATCTGATTGGGGCATCAATAACGCAGGTGTCCCTCAAGGAACCAAATTGGGCCCTATTTTGTTCATAATTATGATCAATGATCTTGAACTGGCATCCTCTAGCACTGACCATTGGAAATACGTGGATGACGTAACAATATCGGAGTCCTTAAAGAAAAATGAAGTTTCAGTCCTACAATCTGATCTTAACACAATTGAAAGATGGACTGTTAATAACAACATGAAATTGAACGGAAAGAAATGCAAAGAAATGATAGTGAGTTTCGTCCGTAGCGAGAATGACATCCCCCGGCTCCTCATTGATGGTTTACCTCTAGACTTAGTTCCTTCTTTCAAAATTTTGGGCTTAACCATGAACAATAAATTGAAATGGCAAGATAACACTGAAGCGTTCGTTAAAAAAGCCTCAAAATGCTTATACATTATTCGTGTCCTACAGCGCTGTGGTCTTCCCCCCAATGACCTCTTACTAGTCTACTTTTCTATGGTGCGCTCTATCTTAGAATATGCCTGTCCTGTCTGGCACACGATGTTACCAAAGTGTTTGGGGGATAAAATTGAAAAAGTTCAAAAAAGAGCTTTCCGTATTATTTATCCGACAACAGATTACGAAGATGCTCTCAACATCGCTAAATGCAAGCGCCTTGTCGACAGACGTCAAGAGCTATGTGCTAAAACATTCAAAAAGATCTTAAAACCCGATGCTCACCTCAACCACCTCTTACCCCCACTCCGTGAAGAATCGCATGAACTGGACTTAAGAAACTATTCTAACTTCACATTAACTAAATGCAGAACGGAACGTTTTAAAACTAGTTTTATACCAGCAATGACTGCTAATTTTAATAGTAAATAATTTGTAGTATTTTAACAACTGTACATATACGATATATTTATATTTATATTATTTGATATTCATCTTTTATTATGTTTCTGTAAGCATATTGCAATTCACCTTCGGGTGCCAAAATGTGTTTCTTAATAAACCTTTAATAATAATAATAATAATAACGTATTCACTCAACTAGCCTTTCTCACGGCCGATTTTACCGCCATTGTGGGGGTACTTCCTCTCCCACGAATGAGAGTTTTCGCACCAAGAAATACAATTGTTTTAGTATTGTAGTTGTTTGTATAATGCATGGTAAATTTACAGTTACAAATTTTAAAAGACGCTTTTCACGTTATTTGAATTGTCTAGAATCTTTCACGATGGCAGACAGTACCCCCAAAATGGCGGATTTTGGCGTTCGTGAGAAAGGCAAATTCACATGTACTGTTTTATTTGCTGA